GGTTACTATGAAAATTATATGCTCACCTCCATATTATCTCCAGGAATCAAGCTTGGCTTAAGGAGACCATGCTTATTGCAAAGACATGTTCAATCACCTGTCTTTATACTTTGATACACCTTTATTTTAATAATTGTTTGATGATGCTTCCTAAAGGAACGTTGACAAAACAGTAATAAAAACAAAAACCACGCACTGTTCATCAGTAATGCAAGAGATAACATATTTAATAACATGCTGGCATAAACTAAACTATCCTGCTACTTATCTACTTTTCCAAAACACAGCATTATGCCAAGCTGAAATTTTATATTGCCACATTTAAAAATGCCACTTGAATCTATTTCTTCCCAATGAAAGGTAAAAATGCAACTGAGGTTCTTTTATCCTTGGAGAAAGAAAGCTCCTCCCGCTTGTCAAATCTGCAGTATTCTTTCCTTTCTTATCTTAATCGACAGGATGAAATACACAACCTTGGATTCTCCTAAGAAGTGAATCACTTTTTCCAGGTCTTTTTTTTTTTTTTCCCAGCCTGTTACATCAGCATCAGGCCACATCCGGGAGTCCAGTCTCCCGAGCTGAGCTGCGTTGTGTCTAGGAAGGGGGAGTGAAAAGGAAGAGATTGTGCTGTGAGCAACTAAGGACACGAGGAAGCCAGCTCATCTGAACTCAGAAAGATGTGACTGTCTCTAAGGATGAGAAAGAATGGGTTTGCACACACACACACACACACACACACACACCCGCTTGAGAGCCGAGAAATGAAAAGACAGAAATCCAGATGGTGCATGGGGGAGGAAGGGATCTAATCTGGAATCTAATTAAGACCCTGCCTCAACCTATAGAAGAAAATGTAAGCAACTGAATGAGGTCCAACAACACAAGGAAAAATAACCACTGCAGCAGGGCACGGTCATTGATGAACCCGGTCTAAAATAAAAAAAGTCCTGATTTGCATCCTTTATTCCGTAGCTAAAGCAAAAAGGCAATATTTCCCAGTCAAATTCTGTTTTCCATAATGCTGTCATTCCTCTTTATCTCACAGAGGAAACAGCTCGGTTACATCTACTCGGGTATTTTTCATACTGACAAGAATATTCTGCTTGTATAATGTGATTTTTGCATATTATTCCCTCTGCTACTGGATCAGTAAATCACCTGGGGCCAGATCTAGAAATAGCAGCATCAATCCTGGAGGAGCAGCACGTGCATCCCCAATAGCTAGAATGCAACCCCTACTCCAGCTTTGCTCATTACCTGATGCCTACAGTTGTCCTCACTATTTACGGTGTTCTCATGAATTTTCTCTCAGACGATCAATCACCTTCTATTCCTGCAGTACAGATACTCCTGGACTAGCGTCAATGGAGACTGCTCATTATGGCAACAAGTTGTGATGGTTATTAAGCGAGGCGGCTGCATGATCGCCTTGCTTAATGAACCCCCACTGGAGTTGTTAAGCAAACCTGGTGGGGGGGGGGAGGTGAAAGCAGGCCCCAGACTGCAGGGACCTATGATGGGGAATATGGAGTAGATAAGCAAAGGTCTTTTGCAGCTTCTCTGTAGTCAGTCGTAAGGACGAATGGCTGGGGCACTGCAGCACCTGTAAGTCTGAAATGGGGTCATAAATAGCTTTGGGGGGTGTCTGTTGTAACTTCAAATGGTTGTCTAGTGACCAATCATAAATTAAAGATTACCTGGGCTTTTTCAGATTTGCTCCTTCCTCTATTTTACTTTCTTTTCTTGTTCTTTTTTCGTCTCAAAGAATTGGCCTTCATCCAGTTTCCACATCTTTAGAGGTGGCGTTTGATTCTTCATCTGTATATTTGTTTCACCTCTCATTTCCCACCATTGTTTTCTAACTGAACATTCCTATTGGTTTTTTTTAAAAAAAAACTTTGTTATCAAATAATCTGAGAGCCCTTTCGAGAACAGGGAGGGGTTTATTTTAGCCGTTGAATACTCAATGGAGCGTCATTGCTATGAAGACAACACATATTTATTTTCCTTCCTCAAAGCCGCAATAAAACCTGAATATTAAAATGTAAGGACAACATCCACAAATGACTTTATGTATTAATTTGGAACTAAAACGACTTGGCTTAGCGGGTCTCACTCCCAGGTCAATGTGCACACAAAATGAAATCTTCCTCCAAGTCAAGCCCAGCACTTGATGACTCAATGACCATTCCCTGGGAACAGGTCCCACTGAGGTTAGACAGGGCTTCTAAGTAGACCTCTGCGCTGCTGTTAGTCTCCTTAGTTTTAAAAAAAACCTCAGGTGATTGACATAAAATAAACAAAAATAAGTTTAGTAACAAAACAAACAATAAAATGTAACTCTAAAATAATACCCTTCTCTTGGACATTTAAATAGTTTACTGTTGCTTTAAGTATATGCTCTGTTGGAATAGAAAATTCATTTCTGCAAACAAAAGAGCATAACCATTTATTCTCCCCCCCCCCCCCGCCGTCCTGTATTGTATTGTAGTTATTGGTATCTTTTTTCCTAGTAAGATGATGATCAGACTGGATGGATCAGCCACACATTCATCTGTCTACATACTAATATAATTGAAAGTGAAAGATCTGTTTTATAAGTGCATTACTATGTCAATGACTTGGCTGCAACATGGGGCTTTATCTCCAAGTAAGCATACAAAAGGGAGAAGTACAGGAAGGGGTTTGAGCAAAAAAAAACAAAAACAAAAAACCCTCTCCCCATTTTTTTAAAAGTACTAGAGTATTCTACATAAAAATATAGAATGGCAACATCTGAAACTTTCTGTCCCCTCAAAATGACCAGATTTATTTTGATAGGTCAGGATATTAACACATTAATACATCCTGGATATTACGCCAGGATGAATTAAGAGTTTAAGTTACCACAGTATCTTTTTAAACATTTCTGTTGCAATAAGTTAGCGTTTCTCAACCTTGGTAACTGGAAGATGTGGGAAATTTCTGAAGCTGAAGTGCACCCATCGTCAAGTGGTCAAGGTTAAGAAGTCCCGCAAATATCTCATCCCTTTTGAAATTGCTCTCTTAAAAGATTCACTGGGATAGGAAACAGAAGACAGAGAGGAGCAAGTTCTACAAAGTCATATCTTATCAAAAGTTCTACCAACATTCTGGTAGGTTCTCACCTTCAAGAGAAGGTTCCGATTCCTCCCAGATATTGCAATGAGAGAAAATGAATATACCTCCAAGGCTGGCACAGATGCCAGCTCTCTGGAAATCCTTTGAGGGAGGGGTTCCCTCACCAGCAAAGCAGTAGACTTCGTCAGACAACAGATACAACATCTGTATCTGAATGAGGAAGCATTTAATTTTCAAAAGTTTCTTTCTTCAGGAAACAGTCAAACTCTACCTTTTTACATATGGTTGAAATGGACTCTTAGGGAATGGATGGGCAAACATCAGTCGGTGCTTTTCAGCTCATTAAACTATGTAATTTGCCTCACAGATCTTCTTTGAGCATTAAAGGGGTTAAAAGCCATCCATACAAGATTTTTTTTTTAAATTAACAAGGCTATCTCTCTCATATATACCTGTACATATATGCATACACTTTGCATACACTTGTCAAATTTATATGGCTGCTTATTTCACAAACGACAATAGGCAACGTACAACCAAGCTAGAAACAATATTTACAGGACAATTATTCATATTATTAGTACAGGCTTTAAAATGGTAAGAGCAAAAATAAACAAATATAGGGAGAAGAGCAGGTATTACTAACAATGCAGCCAGCTCAATATTTCACCAGTCCTCTGGTGTGTGTGTGTTGTGTGTGTGTGTGTGCGCGCGTGTGTATAATTTTTTTTTGCTTGTCAAATTCACGTAGCTGCCCATCTCATGAAAGGCAGCATACAAGATGGTAAAAAGTTAACCTATCATTGTTTAAACAAAAATTATTACAAAGCATCAAGGCGTTTCGAATGCTAACACAGCAGAGTTAGTTTGTCCATGAACATTTGTATTTATAATACACACACACACACACACACACACACACAAACATATTCTGTGTGTATAGTGCATGTGTATATGGTGTGTGTATACACACATATATTGATTTTCTGAGGTTTTCGCGGGTGTTTGTATGTAGGTCTTTGGTTATTCGGGTTTTCTCCCGCGTCAAATTGGAAGTGTCTTGGCGACGTTTTGACCAACTCCCATTCGTCATCTTCAGGCTGGTGTTTTCAGCTTCTTGCTCCTACATACATATATGTACGTACATACACACACACACACACACACACACACACACACACACACACACACAGTCTCTTTATCTGTATCTCACTGCCCATGCAAATACCTCCTTTGCATGCCAACTTACATCCTCTGTACGTATCTGCACCTGTACTGTCTCCGCCTGTATCTCCCCAGAGATCAGAGCCTGTACAGGTAGGAAACACAGAGGCTGACTGCCTGACACCTGTAGGCAAATCCACACCCATCGCGGTGCGTCTGCCATATGCTAAATACGGGAGAGAGCAATTTCTGCAGAAAACAGGAGGATGGATCCTCAGCCAATTCATCAGGATGGATCGCCCCTCGGGGCTCCTCGTCCAATTCCTCCCGCAACCCGGGGAAAAGCCGAGTTCCTACGTGCACCCACCCGGGGACCTAGCATCACCCGTGAATCCGCTCGGCTTCCAGGGAAAGGAGCCGGGTTCCGGGGAAGCTGAAAGGGGTCAGCCCTGCCCGGAAAGGCCTTCCAGCCACCCCCGCAGCCATCGGCGCTTCATCCGCCGGCGGCTGCCCCGAAGCCCAAGGGGAGGGAAGCTCCCTCTTGCTGCCCGCACGTGGCGGGGAGACCCAGCCAGCCGGATCCGCCTTTCCCGACCGACGCAGACACGGGGAAGAGCGCCGGCTGCCCCATCCCGACGACCACGGGAGATGCGGGGAGGGCAGAAGAGAACGGAGAACCGCCGCGCGGGCCGCTTTCCCCGTCGCCCGCGAGGCCTCCACTTTAGCCCCGGACTCACCGGGAAGAGAAAAGGCGTCCCCGGCGGGTCGAGCGGCTCTCCGAGCGGCAGCGACGCGAATCCCCCTCGTCCGTCACCGGCGCCGCCTCGCGCCGTTTAAAATGGCTGAGCGAGGGCGCGCGAGGGAGGCAGCGCGCGGGGGGGGCGGGACCCGGCGTGGGGAGACGCCAATCGCCGCGGGGCTAGCCTGATGGACGTTCCCGGAGGCCTCTGGGAGGAGAAAAGGGGCGGGGCGGGGCAGGTTGCTGGGCCGGCGCGAGCCCGGAGCCGGCTTTGCAAACGTCGAAGAGCGCCGGTTGCAAAGGCGGGGAGCCGTTCTCCCGCGTAGCCTGGGTTGCTAAAGGACCTGCTTCGGGGAGGGGGGGGCAGTCCTTGGAGTAGGGAAGGACTGGCTGTTGCATCTCAAGGAGGGGCGGGAGTTGAGGAGGAAGAGGAGTTTGCATTCTTCCTCCGTGCAAGAAAAGGGCCCCCTTTGCAGCATCCTCTTTAGGCGACCCCCCCTCAAGGGGCCAAGTGCATCGTCGTGCAATCGCCCCCCAAGCCGTGCAACCCTTTGCCAGCCTCCCCAAAGCCCTTCCCGGGGTTGGCCCAGCGGGGAGCTCCGGGATCGCTTTGGAGGGACTGAAGAGGCTGCTGCAAAGCGCAACCCCGCGACCCTTTTGCACGCACACACACCCCGCCCCAATCAGGAGAAGGGGGGAAAGGACGGCCTGCCCGGGGCGAGGAACCTTCGCCAGGGCTGGGTGGCATCCGTCTCCTCGCCTCAGTTCCCCCCCCCCAAAATCCCCCCTCGCTCCTCTTCCCAGAAAGCCCCCTCGGGGCTTTGCATCACGCGCCCACCTTCTGCGGGTGCTGATCCTCCCTGGCGTGGATCGATCGGCGTTCTCCAATCAAGCCCCGAGGAATGGTGGCACGAGGCTTAACGATCCGATGAGGCGATCGGGCGGTCCCCAGGGAAAGAAAACAAAAAATGAATGTATTTCTTTCTAGAATGTATGGCTTCTTCTATAGTAGCCATTCCGGAGCCGTATCTGTTAACGTTGGAAATGTCTGTCAGTTCTGAGTCTGTCTATCTGTCCGTCCGTGTGTGTGTGTGTGTGTGTGTGTGTGTGTGTGTGTGTGTGTGTGTGTGTGTGTGTGTGTGTGTGTGTGTGTGTGTGTACACACATAGGTAGGTGGATGGATAGATAGATAGATAGATAGATAGATAGATAGATAGATAGATGTGTGTGCATATGCAGAGAGGTGTGTGTATACATATATGTGTACACACACACACACACACACACACACACACACACACACACACACACACACACACACACGATAGGCACAAATGAACTACAGTGAGATCTTGCCATCTTAATGTAATTACTTCATTCCTGCAAAAGTTGACCGGCTAAAATAGAAACTGTTGCGGAGAGGGGCTGATGATCTTCAAATATCCTTCATGACTGGCAATATAAATATCTTGTTTCTTCGTTTTTCAGTTAAATGTTGATATATTTGTGTGCCTTTGGATATTTCAAAATTGTCCATCCACAAGCACAACTGAATGCTTCATCATCGTTTGGACGTAATGAATGAGCGAACATTCTACTCAGAAATAAGTCATAATAAAGGGGAATATTTGTAGCCCAGGGTTGAAATGTGGGGTCCTTGGCCCCTCTGAGCTTGATGGGTTTCTTGCAGACATTTCATTACCCAAATTAGGTAACAGGATGTTACCTAGTTTGGGTAATGAAATTTCTTTAACAAAGCCACCAAGCTCAGAGAATACCAAGGACCCCTCAGTATTCACTGTAACATGTATATATATCCTGTAACATGTAAGTATTAAAATGTATTTGTTGTCCTCCAGATGACAACTAAGGATCATAATTAGCCCAACAACATGGAATGCTGGAACTTATAGTTCAGGTGAGGGTTAGCCTTCAAAGCATACTTGAAAAACCACATCATAATAATGGCTCTGGGACGCTAGATATTAAAATGAGTGTGCTTCTTTAAACTTTGTATACAAAACAAGTCACAATTAGCTAGATCTGGGTATTGTGCTAATGGTTTGACATCACAACTGTGATGGGTGTGAGGATGATGGAGCCAGAAAAAGAATGCAACTAAACTAGAATCTGTCATGATCAAAACCAATGTTTCATGGTCTCCAGTTGTCTGAACAGAACGATAAATGTTCTCATGTTCTGCATCACCCCACTGAAGAGGTCCTTCAAAATGTCCTTGTAGATACTGGAATGAAATATGGAGTGCTAGATAAATCCTGTTGAAGTTGAACTTCCTTGAAATGTGCTCTCCCACTCTTTCATCCCTCCCACTCCCACTCTTCAGATCAAAGCACCATGTGTGGCTCCAGAAGTGCCACTTTTGTGTTGAGTTGAAGTTCAGGCTATGATTAAAGACAAGGAAGTGCTCAACCCCCAAAGATCAACTTCAGATTTCATCATAGCCTCCTGATCTATGCTAACGTTTGCACTGTGTTATTTTTTTGAATCTGACCACAGTAAAAAGGCTGCAGGAAGTCCACAGTGGACCTAGTGATTCATTCAGGGTTATCATGCCATTCCATTAACATCAGCAGGATATCTTACACAATATTTTTGGATACGGTTGCCATTTCTTTCAACAAATAATTTTCAACTCACAAAAGACAACACACTAAAGCCTGACGCTGTCTAATAAAATTGGTTTGTCGGAAAAGGCGCAACCAGACGTTAGATTTTTGGCTACCGTAGCCTACTACAGTGTCTTGCTTTTGTCAGTCCTCGAAAAACAGCTTAAAATGTAACTGCTTGACCTTTTGGTTCCTATTGTTTAGATTTGTGCTGAAATTCCATACAGAAGCTTCATTTTCCGTCCTTTCATTGGCCAAGAACCAGCTCGCTGAACTGAATTATTCCTGCAGCCTGTATAATGTCATGACCTTACTTCGTGAACAGAGAAAACAGCAATCTGGGATTGAAAGGAAGTTGCAGGACTTATCACCAGGAGGAAGATACACCCCTTGCTGTTAGCTAAAGAGATGTCCTTATGAAGGAGTCACCATTTCATAGGAAGCTCCCTACTGTGGCCGGTGGAAGCCATTCCTAAGTTTCCTAGACTGGACACTATTTCCTTAGGAAACGCAAAGGACACCCCATCCATGCAATCGGGTGATGTGATGGAGAAAGAGAGTGGAGGTAACCAGATAGGGGCAAGTATCTCCTCAGCTATAGTTGTCCTTGTAGATTGGCGGTGGGACCTTCCCCTTCTATCTTGTGCCTTACATCTTATGCAGAGCTACTGTACAACAGCACAACATGGCCCCACTTGGGGATGCGTGTTAGGGGCAGTTAATTTGAGCAGCCCAATTTATACCAGCCCTGCAGAGAAATACATTATCCGCATGAATCTTTACTTATTAATATGAGGGAAGACGCCAATTGTAGCTAGCCAAAGTGTGTCTGTTTGTACTTCTAATGCGAAAATTACTGTCAGATACTGAGAAAGGTTTTTCAAATCGTCTGTGCACATTTTTAAAACTTGTTTCTTTTCATCTGGGGCAACTTTCTTCAGAAACTGTTTCTTCGAAAAACAGAAGGAAGAACTAAACAAACATTCCCAGATTCAGGTCTTAGCATCTCCTTCCTTCCTGCTTTCTTTCCTTCCTCCCTCCTTCCCTCTATAAAAAGGCTTTCTTATTATTAGGTTTAGAAGTGCAATCTCTACAACATGGTGTGAGAACAGGAAGAAGACTTTTAATTTCAAATAATGACACCTTTCCCCAATAGCTAAAGTACAGTCATATTGATGCTGAATTTTGTCTGCTTTATTTAAGGTTTTGGAAGGGCTATAAATAACATGCCAGAGGAGTCACAATAGCCAAGGTAACATTAAATATTGCCTATAAACCATAAATTACATCCTTCCTGGGCTAAAGTTATTTGGTGACCAAGGTGCAATCCTTTAATAATGTTCACAAACCAGGGCAGGCTACCTGGGGTTCCTCTCACGGTTGCCAAATATACAGTCTCAGATAGAATAAGGAGTAGTGGAATTTGATGTAAGAATAATTCGATTAGAGAAGGCCCTTCTTGTGACATATCTGTTATCGGACGTTGGCGATCATGTTGGTGATCCTGTTTTTATCAGCAGCCGCACGAAAAAGTGCTGCAGAGTTTTGTCCAAACCAGTCCCTTAAATTTTGAAGCCACGATGTTCTTCTTCTGCCTGGACCTCGTTTGCCTTCCATCTTTCCCTGGAGGATTAAATGGAGCGTGCCGTATTTTTCTGGGTGTCGCATCACATGTCCGAAATATTCTAGTTTTCATTTTTTAATTGTTTTGATGCTTTCCCTTGGCTTTCCCAGGCGGCTGATCACCTCATTTCTGATCTTGTCAACCCAGCTTCTACGTAACAGCTGCCTGTAAATCCACATTTTAGATGCTTCTGGTCTCTTCAGGTGGCCTTCTGTCAGAGACCGACTCTCTACTCCATAGAGCAGGATAGGAAAAATATAGCATCTGACAAGCCTGGTTTTCAGTCTTAGGCTTATGTCGTGACTGCAGAAGACCTTTTTCATTCTGAAGAATGCTGTTCAGGCTTTTTCTATCCTTGTCTTTACTTCAACGGTCATGTCCCAGCTTTCATGTAAATTAGAACCGAGGTGCGTGATCCTTTCAACTTTTTCTAGTGGTATTCCTTCTGAATTTATTGGTGGTAAATTAACGGGTTGTTCGCTGACGACCATGATCTTGGTTTTTGAGGTTTAAGCTTCAAGCCGTATTTTTTCAGATATTTCTGTGACTCTGTTGATGAGCTGAAGGTCTATCTTAAAGGAACCCTGCTATGGCCTCTATTTAAGTTTTTCCTATAACTCTGGTGTAATTTCATGGTTGAAAGTGCTTTACGGTCTCCTGTAATCCCCCATGGCTACAAAATAGTCCTTTGTTCAGGAAAGAAGAAATCCCTGTTTTGCGTTTGTTGATTGCCTCATGTGTTCCTCCAAGGTTTGGCCTTGTTAAAATGTTAACTGTCCTTCCCACATTTTTAGCCTTGGGAATCTTTTATCGTCTTCTAGTTTTAGATAAATAAAAGCGTTGGTCTAAGAAGCCGTTGGAAATAAATGTCCTTCACATGCAGGTAGAATGACT